ACTTATTGCGTGAAGTTAAGGTAGTAGTAGCTATTAAAACTTATTGCGTGAAGTTAAGGTAGTAGTAGCTATTAAAACTTATTGCGTGAAGTTAAATGGCAGGTGCAGAATAAGTAACGGTTCCTTTCAGGTGTAAAGGAGTGATCGACTGCTTCATTTCTTTCTGAAAAGGAAAAGTGCAACCATCCATTCTTCTCCATTGCTGTATCCGAAGAGTTCTGCAACGGCAATAAAGAATGTTCTCCAGTAGACAGTCCACTTAACAGCCTGATCCTTGCCATAGGTTGACTCCATTATTGGCTTAATGGAAGCCAAGTTTTTGTCCATTCTTTTGAGCCACTCTTCACTGCAAGATAAAGGATCATTTAGTTGACTCTCAAAATCGATGAATTTTCAAATTACACTATGGGAAAGGCAGAGTTCAAGCAGTTCAACATTTCCTACTAAGAAGAATCAGGCTACTTAGACAAGTCATTATTGCTGTTGTTTTGAGTTGTTTGCCCTTGGCCCCTTACCTTGTCTGCGCATAATGTTTCCCATTCACAAGCCAATGATTGATGACACAAACATCATCCTGCATGGTTGATAGGAAGAAAGATATAAAAGTCATATCAAGCTCTAAATGGCTCGTAGTTTCCTGCATGGTTAAGCATCATGGAAAAATACTCATGTTTTTTCTTTCAATCATTACTCAAATGAGGTTAAACAGTATGAACTGCTATTTATCTGTTTTGTACTTAAATTGTTAGCTAAACCAACAAGATATCAATATCCTCAGGAGACAAATTTGATATATGATACTATTTTAATCAATAAAAGTAGAAAAGGTTCAAAGGCATGAGGTTGGGAGTGTAAAGTGAAGAACTTACCTGGAAATAAAGAAGCAGATTAGCTGAGGGCATCGTACCTCCAGTGAAGAAGTACCTAGTAATCCAGTCATCTTCATTTATATCCTATGTACATATAAAGGATGCTAAGAATCATTAATATCCTGATAATTTTGAAGTAAAATCTTGTTTGACATTTGAAGAATGTAAGCACTGCTTAAACCAGAATTTTCAATCAAGACCATTTAGCAGAATCATAAAATGAATACCTCAAAGTGGTAAGCAAAGGCTTTATGGCAGAAATAATGAACAAAAAGAAGGCCATCCGGTTTCATCCACATGGATATCTTCTTCAGAAGATCCTGATAGTTCTTCATATGCTGTCAATGGACAGATCAATACTTAAAAAACTATATCAACACTAAAAGGCATGTTGTAGCAATGGGAATTGATTGGTACACCTTCCAGTTCAACATTTTTCGGTTTAGTCATTAAAAATATAATATAAATACAGTTAATTCAGCCGGTTTCTATATTCTGTGTACATAATTATACTTGTCTGTTTTTAATTTCAGAGTAAAAAATAGTGATTTTTTAATGACTAAACCAAAGGATGTTGAACCAAATGTTGAACCAGAAGGTGTACCAATCACTATCCTATAGGAATATGTCAAAATTGGTTAACCTCAAACATTTCAATTGAATATATTCTGTCATATGATGCCTCCATTTCAAAAGTCGTTATATCCGCAACAATGATCTCCACATTCTGCATCTGAAGAGCCCTACAAGAAAGTGAAAACGTGTTTAGATCATTAACCATCCTAGCAAGTATAGTTCAGTTTCAAACTTCAGAGCATCATTACAAGTTGAAGACTTGATGTGATTATTCCAATTAAACATCTCAAACTGATGGTTGGGAATTTTGAGCACCACAATCCCACACAAATAGAAGCAATAAAGAATTTGAGATAACAATTTAACGTAGTTCAACTTGTATATGTTTCAACAAGTTTGCATCCATGAGAAAGAGATAAATGAATTCACTATTAAAAAAAAAGAGTACAATAATTTAGAAACTCTCTATCTCACTTAAGAAGCTCAACACCCTAGCTTCAATATATAGAAGCTCCCAAGTTCTCCCTAATACTCCCTCTTACTCTTCTCAAGGATTATCTCACAATCTCTCTCTTTCTTTTCTCTCCCAAGAGCACTCACTCACTTAGCTCTTCTTAATCTCTCTTGCTTGCTCCCATAGCCTTTGCATGCATGGGTATTTATAGGGAAAAATCCCAACCACCCGTGCATGATTTTCTTTACCTCATTAAATAAGTTCATCATGCAATTTTGCATGATTTCAACAAAGCAATGCTAGCCCACAATTGGCTTATAGGCAGGTGAAGAAAACTACCATATGGAGAGTCCATGTGTTAACATGGAGTTGGACTTTCTACCAACACTGACATCATATTAACATATCAAGCATCATATACCTGCACTGCTCATCAATATGCGCTTTCTGTGTTACTGAATTACAGATTCCTGTAATGCTGCAATTAGGATACTTCTTAGCTATGTATAAAGAAAGTGATCCCCACCCACATCCAACATCAAGAACAGTATGTCCATCCTTCAAATGTGACCTCTCACAGTACAGCTCCAACATTTCTTTCTCAGCATCCTCTAAAGTCCTCGCCTTTTCAGAGAAGTAACAACAGCTGCAGTAAATCATCACACATAAACCGTGCATCATCTGAGAACAACAAAATAACACATCCTAGTATATCCTACTTTTCACCACCTGTATTTGAGGTTCGTTCCGAGCACTAGTTTGAAGAAATCAGTTGGTAGCTCGTAATGCTGGACTTTTGGCTTATCAGTCCTGATGGCAATTGGCATCTCTCTCAAAGCTACAAGCAATTCAGAATTCGGCAACAATTCGATATTTTTTCTTGATTTCTACATTCATGAATTTAAATCGCAGACTAAAAATCACTAATTTACTCCAGTTTTCCCAAACCATGCATTTTCCAAAGATTTGAAGATTAATTGGGAGCAAAATTAATAAAAGCACACTCTTCAAGTGAGTAAAAATTGCATCTAACATACAATGCACGAAACGAAGGAGGTCAGCGAGCTGGAGTTCAGCAGAAGGTTTGTAACCGGAGCGAAGACGGCTGGCTAAGAGCAAGCGCGTGAGCCTCCGAACGACGGCGTCAGGCAGCAGATTCCGCTCCAGAGAAGCCAGCATGAACTTCACGGTAGCGTCATACGGCATCTGCAGTACGCTTCCCATCAGGATACTCGCCCTTGGTTAATTTCTCTCCGCCGTACGTTCACCTTCTTAACTCGTATTTCTTAGGCAAAACCATAAGTTAAGCCCCTGAACCGACCCCAGAATCGCTATTAAGCCCCAGACTCTAATTGAAGCATTTAAGCCCCTGAACTCTGCAATAGAAGCAATTTAGCCCTTACTCTCACAGCCAACTTAATTGCTGCTAATTGCCGTTAACTACTGTTTGGAGGCTCGTGTGTCGCATCTAAGTCCTACGTGGCAAGGGACTTGATATTTGATTTGTCCACTTAGATGAAAAAATATATATATTTAGGAATAAATTTTTTATATTGTTTTTTTATACAATTTTATGTCATTTAAATAATTAATTCTTTTTATTTATAAATTTGTCAAATTTATGTTTTAAAGGTACAAATTAAAAATACAATAAATACATTTTTTATAATAAATTTGTATTAAAAAATAAAAATTAACTTTTAATTTTTCAATTATTCAATTAAATTTATTCATTTAGCATCAAAATTAAAACTAATATTAATTTTTTATTTTTTTATATATGTTTATGATAAAAAATACTTTTAATATGTGCTATAAGGATACATGTTAGAAAAGTCCCTTGCCACGTAGGAATGAGATGCGGCACACGAGGTGGTCCTCCAAACAGAAGTTAACGGCAATTAGCAGCAGTTAAGTTAGCTGTGAGAGTAAGGGCTAAATTGCTTCTATTGCAGAGTTCAGGGCCTTAAATGCTTCAATTAGAGTTTGAGGGCTTAATAGCGATTCTGGGGTCGGTTCAGGGGCTTAACTTATGGTTTTGCCTATTTCTTATCCCCCTGTTTGTTTACCGGGAATTAGTTTGTCCTCTAGCCTCCCATAGCAAAAGAAGTTTGACCTTCAACCATATCGCTTCGCGGTATTTTAAAAGTAATATATGTCGTTTTCCTAAAAAAAAAAAGAAGTAATATATGTGGTTAAAAGGAGGCCACCGTAAGGAAGAGTTCTCTAGCGTCGATTTGAAGAAAAAAAAGCAATTAACAATGTTAATTATATGTTTTTTATTTAAATATATAAAATATTAATTTTTTATTAAAAATTTGTTTATTACATTAATATCCTTAAGTAAAATGAGTTGAAAATTAATATTTTTA